TTCACTGTAAAGCCTCGAATGATGCATTTCGTTCCAAACGTGCTAGGCTGCCATTAAAAAATATGATAATGATATCCAGCATTAAATTCTGGGACCATTTAATCACTTCAGAAGGAAGTTTAGTTCACCAAATATATAATGCTACGAAAATAAGCAACCCATGGGTAAAAAAGTTAAATATTATTATTCAAAATCTAGGTTTATCATATTTGTCAAACGTTAAAGCCACTTTTAAACCCGTTTTTTGGTTTTATGAAACAAAGATTAATTGACCAGGTGTTTCAAGAACAACATGCAAACATTTCAGCATCTCCAAAATTACCATTGTTCCAGAGTGTTTACAAAATGAGTGAACGTGCAGCTTTTGATGATGCTTTAAGAAATAGATCAGATCGATCATCATTATGTAAATTAAGAGTAATTGCTCATAACCTTGCCATTGAAACAGGAAGATATTTAAAATTGCCCAGGGGTCAAAGAATTTGTGAAATCTGCAACTGAAGTGGTGATTTTGAAAATGGACAGCACATGCTACTACACTGTAGAGGGTACTCCAATATCAGAGAGACTTTTGAATTCAAAATGAATTGAATTACTAAAAATAGTAACCTGCCTTTGTGCGATAAATATAAAATTAAGTTTATACTTAATAATAAATCTTACACGGCACAAAAACTATCTAATAATTCCTCTTTCGTAACAAATTTTTTAATGCGAGAAGTAATCTATTGCAATAGATTTTCATTATACATGTATTGTATATTCACATAATTGTTTGTATTTTACTACCATGTTTGTCCATTCGGTCATTACCATTTATTGTAAATGCGTTTGTGCCAATAAAATATTTTATTTCTTATGCAGCAAAAATACTGCAATCTGATTGGTTAATTACCCCGGTGTAAATAACACCCCACTCTTGTTCACCCCGGGATAAATAAAATTTTGCCAAAAAAAAAAAAAAAAATGTAAAAAAAAAAATAAAAAAAAATATAAAAAAAAAAATAAATAAATTTGAGGACAAAAATTTGTAAAAAAATTAAAAAAAAAATTTAAGAGTCTATCCTAAATTGAAGTAAATTATGTGGCCTTCCAATAACCGTTTCGATTCCTAACATCACTGAAGAGACATTAATTGTCGAAATGCGGATATGGTGTACAAAAAATCTTTGCACCTTTGTTTGCGGTATACCAGGGGCGTAGCTGGACTTACATAAAGTGCAATCATAACCATCGATTTTTTTGGACCATTTTATGCAGAATATGATAACTTTTTTCGGGCATTTTTCCGGTATGCCATGCTTATGAAATTCACATCACATTCACGCCCAAACTCCTATTTTGTGGAATACTTGTGGACTTTATAGTGATTCGGCAAGGGAGGAGGCTATGGACCGCTCAAAGTCCCCAGCTGGTCCAGGGTAGCACCCTAGTCGGGGATCCAGGGCAGCACCGTAGACGGTGGTCCAGGGAAGCGAATCTCCATGAAGCTCCGGGCATATGCCAATTACAGTGACTGCTTTGAACATGAAAAATACCCTATCTGTTTTTTACTATACCATATTTAAATGAAACGATAGTAAAAGTCTAGTGAGTTCCGTAATTTGCTGCTTATATTATTAACATTAGTTGAGAATGGAAATGGGGAATGTGTCAAAGAGACAACAACCCGACCATATAGCAGACAACAGCCGAAGGCCACCAATGGGTCTTCAATGCAGCGAGAAACTCCCGCACCCGGAGGCGTCCTTCAGCTGGCCTCTAAACAAATATGTATACCAGTTCAGTGATAACATGGTTATTTTCAAATATAATTTTTTTTCTATAAAACGGGAAGATCAGGAAGAGTCGACAACCGAAGCGTTAATCAATAGACAATTGACAAACCCGTGAACAGATAAGACACAAAAGGAGAAACAAAATCATTCAACATTGAAAACTAAATACAGATGAAAAACACGGACCCAGAATACAATGTGGCGACCTCCGGTGCTCCAAAAGGGTAAGCAGTTCCTGCTTCTTGCAAGACACCCGTAGTGTGTCTCACGAAGGTCATTCTCAAATCAAAGGAGAGGTTTCTACGACAACGGTAGAAGGTCATTTGGGACACATATACCCCAGGTGAATCAATAGTCTTTTAGACGAACGGACAATGGGAATACGAAATCTAACGGCCACTTTTAAGTCTTGACTTATAAGTAAGGGATATAAATCTAAGATGTTTTCAAGGTGATTGTATTGAGCCTGTATAATTAAATGTTAATACTGCATGTAAGACTTAAAGTAAAGTTAATATCGAAAGTCCATATATCTATTTTTTGCCAAGGCAAATGATCGCAGAACTCTCTCGTTGTTGATATCCATTTCTTTGTGAACATGTATGAGCGCCAACGAAGATAGTCTGTCCTGTACCATGGTTGAACGGAGATAAGTTTTCGGTCGCCTTAATGCACTAAATGACCGTTCAGTAGTTGATGTAGTTACTGGCATTGTAACTAGAATTGAGATGATTGCGAATATTGAAGGATATATAGTTCTTTATTAGTCACTGATACAGACGACATCAGAGATTTGGGCTTTAAACACCGCCCGACACGATAATCTGTAAAGACTAAAGACTATCCGTAATTCAATTTAAGAATTTTTTTTTTTTGGTGAAAAAAATGTGCAAGCAAATGATTTTTTGCGTAAAGGCAGCTACGCGCCTGTATACCATCTTTGCCGCAAGTTTATTGTTTTCTGTTTGGTATTAAATTTATAGTTAACAGGGGCGTAGCTGGACTTACATAAAGTGCAATCATAACCATCGATTTTTTTGGACCATTTTATGCAGAATATGATAACTTTTTTCGGGCATTTTTCCGGTATGCCATGCTTATGAAATTCACATCACATTCACGCCCAAACTCCTATTTTGTGGAATACTTGTGGACTTTATAGTGATTCGGCAAGGGAGGAGGCTATGGACCGCTCAAAGTCCCCAGCTGGTCCAGGGTAGCACCCTAGTCGGGGATCCAGGGCAGCACCGTAGACGGTGGTCCAGGGAAGCGAATCTCCATGAAGCTCCGGGCATATGCCAATTACAGTGACTGCTTTGAACATGAAAAATACCCTATCTGTTTTTTACTATACCATATTTAAATGAAACGATAGTAAAAGTCTAGTGAGTTCCGTAATTTGCTGCTTATATTATTAACATTAGTTGAGAATGGAAATGGGGAATGTGTCAAAGAGACAACAACCCGACCATATAGCAGACAACAGCCGAAGGCCACCAATGGGTCTTCAATGCAGCGAGAAACTCCCGCACCCGGAGGCGTCCTTCAGCTGGCCTCTAAACAAATATGTATACCAGTTCAGTGATAACATGGTTATTTTCAAATATAATTTTTTTTCTATAAAACGGGAAGATCAGGAAGAGTCGACAACCGAAGCGTTAATCAATAGACAATTGACAAACCCGTGAACAGATAAGACACAAAAGGAGAAACAAAATCATTCAACATTGAAAACTAAATACAGATGAAAAACACGGACCCAGAATACAATGTGGCGACCTCCGGTGCTCCAAAAGGGTAAGCAGTTCCTGCTTCTTGCAAGACACCCGTAGTGTGTCTCACGAAGGTCATTCTCAAATCAAAGGAGAGGTTTCTACGACAACGGTAGAAGGTCATTTGGGACACATATACCCCAGGTGAATCAATAGTCTTTTAGACGAACGGACAATGGGAATACGAAATCTAACGGCCACTTTTAAGTCTTGACTTATAAGTAAGGGATATAAATCTAAGATGTTTTCAAGGTGATTGTATTGAGCCTGTATAATTAAATGTTAATACTGCATGTAAGACTTAAAGTAAAGTTAATATCGAAAGTCCATATATCTATTTTTTGCCAAGGCAAATGATCGCAGAACTCTCTCGTTGTTGATATCCATTTCTTTGTGAACATGTATGAGCGCCAACGAAGATAGTCTGTCCTGTACCATGGTTGAACGGAGATAAGTTTTCGGTCGCCTTAATGCACTAAATGACCGTTCAGTAGTTGATGTAGTTACTGGCATTGTAACTAGAATTGAGATGATTGCGAATATTGAAGGATATATAGTTCTTTATTAGTCACTGATACAGACGACATCAGAGATTTGGGCTTTAAACACCGCCCGACACGATAATCTGTAAAGACTAAAGACTATCCGTAATTCAATTTAAGAATTTTTTTTTTTTGGTGAAAAAAATGTGCAAGCAAATGATTTTTTGCGTAAAGGCAGCTACGCGCCTGGTTAAGATCCATTTATTACACCTTGTGATCCGTTTATTTGGCAATCGCCAATGGCAGTCAGCAGAGTTTGTTGTTCGACCTGTTAGTCAAATGCGTTTTGTTAAAATATACTTTTTCACTTTTTTGATCTTTTGGAAAATTTTGTTTGTGCTGTATTTAGACCCCTGTAACATATATATATATATACATATCTTTGAATGATGATTTTTACCCAATAAAAAGAATTTGGACAAAAACTATAATAGATATAGAGAAATTGTAAATAGAAAAAAGAAATCAGCAATACAACCAGTGGCGGAACAAAAAAGGGGGGTTCACGATTGGATACCCCCTTTTTTGACGATCAATGCTTTTGAATGGGGACATATGGTTGGAACCCCCCTTTATCATGGGATGGGAATCCCCCTTTTAAAAATGGCTGGATCCGCCCACCTAACAAGATAGCATACATGATCAACAAAAAAAGATATTTTAAAATCATGACTACTATATTTGTGTCTACAATGTTGGAGAGTACAGACTCCTTGGAGCCTTTAGTTTATAAATTTTAGAATCAAACAATTTATTTAAAAAAATCCATGCAAAAATTCCGTGCGCACAGTAAAACGAGAAAATCGTGCTGCTGATGTTGGTCGATGCACACGTCGGTGCTTTTAAAAGTACCGCTAAAAAATAGTGCACAGTTGAAGCGTGCTTTAATTTGATTAACAAATTGTCTATAAAACAGAATACCGTTTCGTTTTTAGACAGACATTAAAATAGATGAAATATTGAAAAGCCGTGCTTTATAGTCACGAAAAGGGGTCTGAAACGGAAGTTAAAGTGTAATGTTATGAAAGTTGGTAAAATGAACTATTTTATAAAAAAGTTACAGAGTTTGAAAAGTTATGTTGCGAGACATGATTGAAGATGAATATTTATTTCTGCTATTGTTGTCTGCTATGTGTTATTGCTACAGGTAAAGAAATCAATCAAAACTATAACACCACGTGATGATATTGACTATAAACAGAAATGTACTGTTATATTGTTAGCATCCACTGTACATCACCTTTGAAGTTTGGCGTAAACATTCTTAAACGTTCAAGATTAATTAATTGCTAGGTAAACAAGAAAGTTGCGTTGATTAACGTCTGTTAGGTAAACATAGAAAGAGGAAAGCAAATTAAAAAATAAAATAACATTTCAAACATAAAGAAGTAAACACTCAGACTGTATAACTGTTACAGCAACATCACAAAGGCAAGACTGTTACATACATGCACAATTGACATGTGTCTATACATGTATACTTATTTTAACAAAGTCTAAATTGAAAACAACGTTCAAACCTATGATTGCGTTGGATAAAAACCGCAATTTTTATACGTGTGCATGCAAAACAAATTTCTTGGAAGAGGAGTCTAAAAACAGCAAAAACAACATTTTCCAAAAGACCAAATGAGTGAAAAAGTATATACCAAAGATTGATATATCTCCCGCGAACTAAGAATTGGGGGTATATTTGTTCTGCCTAACAGAAGTTCCCAAAGAAGGAAACCGGGGATCCATTTCCAATCTGTTACAAATGTATTAAAATGAATAGATTATTGAAAATTGATTTTTAAAATATATTTCAATTGCCAATAATAGAAAAAATGACAATAAATGTTATTTATTTGCAGAAACCTTTTGACCTGCCTGTAAATATAAGGAGTTTCTTAAACACCCATACAATATCCATTTTGTACATATATAAAAATAAGGAGATGAGGTATGATTGCTAATGAGACAACTATCCACCAAAGTTCAAATAAAGTTGATGTAAGCAATTATAGGCAACCGTACAGCCTTCAACAATGAGAAAAACCCATACCATATAGTCCGCTATAAAACTATTAAAAGGCCCTGACATGAAAAATATGAAACAATTCAATTGAGAAAACTAACGGCCTAATTTTAAATTTATAACAAAACAATTTACGAAAAACAAATATGACTGACAAGAACCAATGACAACCACTGAACTACAGGCTCCTGACTTGGGATGCACATAAAGAATGTGGCGGGGTTAAACATGCATGCTCAACCCTCCCCTAAACCTGGGACTGTGGTGTAACAGCACAACATAAGAATAAACTACCGTAGAAAGGCTTGTATAGTTCGCAGTGGTACATAGTCCGCACCCCCTTCTCCCCACGAAATTTTAGGAAAAAAAACTTTTTGTAACTGTTAGAAAAGGTCTAATGAAACTCCGGTAATTTCAAATCCTGTGCGGTCGTTTGCGGTATTTTCTTGGAAAAACCTGTTTTCCATCAAACAGAAGCTGAAACTGCTTGTTAATGATTCTAGAACGCTTCATGATTGTTAAAATAAGTTTAATTCACTTAAAAAACAATTTAGAAACTTGTGTATGTTTAAACAGGAAGTTTAAAAAGCACGTGTAAAAGAAGAAATTAACCGGTGAGAGTCGAAATCCGTACATAACAGATATCACTATAATACGACTTTGAAAGCAAAACAGTTCCATCCTTTTGTAAAACAGTCTTTAATATATCTATCACATTAATGTTTGAAGGGTCTTAAGCTAATACAAACCATATTAGTCAGTATGAAACACCAAAACGGAACGAACAATAACCGATTTCGTTTTGTAGTTTACAAATTCTAAGCTGGTTTACGGTTGTCTTTTTCACTATGTTTGTATCGTTTCAATCGAGCAGATACCAGTTTATTTCAACCAATGCATTGAAAAGAAACGAGAAATTTGTAATGAAAGGTTTAGTTTTTATATTTATCAGTATTAATTTGATATTGAATAGAAATAACTTATTAATATGGATGAGTTAAAATTATTAGTTTGAAAAATGATAAGAGCGCCCTCTACAATAGAAATAACAAAGATGGCGGAACGTAAACAAACCACCTCGACCGCGAAATTGAAATTTTTCTCTTATTTCTTGCTTATTGTACTCTATAGTCCGCACCCCGTCTGGAAGGTCCAATTTTGGAGAATAAAACCGCGGACTATACAAGCCTTTCTACGGTATAAAAATCAGTTGAAAAAGACTTAACTCATCAGATCTGTTCAACAGTCTGTTATAAATTTGGCATTCTTGCATAGATTTTTAATCAACTTTCATTTTTAATCTGAACGAGAGTTGCATATTTTAGACTAAAAAGTGCATCATCCCATGCTGACTAATAACTTTTCAGGTCTATTCTGGTCCAGTCTGAATAAAGCCAGCCCCCACTATCCACTTGAGATTAAAAGCAAGTGGATAGTGGGGGCTGGCTTTAGTCAGACTGAATGACTGATGCAGGTCGAACGAGTAAAATGAATTTAAAAAAAAAGGAAGAAACCTGAGTGAGTAAGCATCAGTGGCGGATCCAGAAATTTTCATAAGGGGGGGGGGGCACTGACTGCCTAAGAGGGGGCTCCGCTCCAGTCATGCTTCAGTGATTCCCTAAATAATCAACCAAATTTTTCCCACAAAAGGGGGGGGGGGGGGGGCCTGGGCCCCCTTGAAAACCCTCTAATTCCGCCTCTGAGCATAGTTTGTCAATCTGTTTTTATACGACCGCAAAAAAATTTTTCTGGTCGTATATTGGTATGACATTAATGCGTCGTCGTTGTCGTCGTCGTCGTCCGAAGACACATTAGTTTTCGCACTTTAACTTTATTTTAAGTGAATGGATCTCAATGAAATTTTGCCATAAGGTTCAATACCACAAAAGGAAGGTTGGGATTGATTTTGAGGGTTATGGTGCCAACAGTTAAGGAATTAGGGGCCAAAAAGGGGCCAAAAATAAGCATTTTTGTAACTTCCAGACGTAACTTGTGTGTAAGTGTATGGATCTCTCTGACATTGTACCATAAGGTTCCATATCACAAAGGGAATGCTGGGATTGATTTTGGGGGTAATTGCCTCCAAATTTTAGGAATTAGGGGCAAAAAAGGGGCAAAAAACAAGCATTTTTCTTGTTTCATGACAATAACTTGTGTGTAAGTGTATGGATCTCTCTGACATTGTATCACAAGGTTCCATAACACAAAGGGAATGCTGGGATTGATTTTGGGGGTAATTGCCTCAAAATTTTAGTAATTAGGAGCCAAAAAGGGGCAAAAAACAAGCATTTTTCTAGTTTCATGACAATAACTTGTGTGTAAGAGTATGGATCTCTCTGAAATTGTACTGCAAGGTACCATACCACAAAGGGAAAGCTGGAATTGAGTTTGGGGGTAATTGCCCAAAAAAGTTTAGGAATCAGGGGCCAAAAAGGGGCCAAAAATAAACATTTTTTTCCAGACAATAACTTGTGTTCAAGTGTATTGATCTCTCTGAAATTGTACTGCAAGATACCATCCCACAAAGGGAAGGCTGGGATTGATTTTGGGGGTAATTGCCTCAAAATTTTAGTAATTAGGGGCCATGAAAGGGCAAAAAAACAAGCTTTTTTCTAGTTTCAGGACAATAACTTGTGTGTAAGTGTATAGATCTTTATGAAATTGTACTGCAAGGTTCCTTATCACAAAGGGAAAGCTGGGTTTGAGTTTGGGGGTAATTGCCCTAAACGTTTAGGAATTTGGGGCCAACAAGGGGCCAAAAAACAAGCATTTTTCTAGTTTCCAAACAATAACTTGTGTTCAAGTGTATGGATCTCTCTGAAATTGTACTGCAAGGTACCATACCACAAAGGGAAGGCTGGGATTGAGTTTGGGGGTGATGAATCATAAGGGGGTTCAGAAAGTTTGGGGGGGGATTTTTTTTTCCTTTTTTTTCTTTAAAATTTTCCATTTTAAATTGGTTATTTCTGATTTATATATAAAAGCAAATAATAATGATATGGTTTGAATAGGTAAATTAAAAAATTTTATGTTCTTAGACCACTTTCATTTTGTGTCAGAAACCTATGCTGTGTCAAATATTTAATTACAATCCAAATTCAGTGCTGTATCAAGCTTGAATGTTGTGTCCATACTTGCCCCAACTGTTCAGGGTTCGACCTCTGCGGTCGTATCAAGCTGCGCCCCAGTGGAGCATTTTATTGCATTTTCACTGTACGTTTGCAGTATTTGTTGAAGTTTTTAGAACTATTTAAATGCTTAATATGAAAATAAGATGTGGTATCATTGCCATTGAGACAACTCTCCACCAGGGAGCAAATGACGTAGAAGTTTTTTAAGGAAGAACAATATAAATACAATTTCCAACTCACTCTTGGTAGAAGAAAATCATTCTCTTGGCCTGCAAGCATGCCACATGATAATTTTTGAGTGACCAATTTTATGTTACATGTACTCATCTGGTGCCATTGAAAAACTCAGATTAATCAAAAAGCGCAACGTCTCATTATTTTACAGTGGAAATTAATTTAGGTTCAGTATTAAAAAAATCTCTGCTAATCGTGGTGAACATGTGTGAGCCAAAATTTGTTCCTGTGAAAAAAGTTCCAGTGGAATAAATATCACAGGAAATATATTCTGGGAGAACTTTTTTCACAGACAATTTCTATATAATTTGTTCCATCTCTATAAAATAAGTTCCACACTTAACCAGGTGAAATAAGTTCTGGGTTTGTCAAATTTGTTCCTTACCTGGTGAAATAAATTTGGGGTTTGTGAGATTTGTTCCTTACCTTGTAAAATAAGTTCCGGGTTTGTGAAATTTGTTCCTTACCTGGTGAAATAAGTTCCTTGTCTGTGAAATATGTTCCACTGGTTATACAAGTTATCTTAAATATTGAGCATTTGTCATCAGTGAGTTTAAAGTCATCATTCAAGTACATTATAAAAACATGTACATGTATTATATAGATAATGTATTAAATAAAAAGTGTAAACATCCAATATGGATAATGTAATAAATAAAAAGTGTAAACATCCAATATGGATCAATGTTCCGCTGTGAAATATGTTGCAAAGGTACTTATTTTCTGTGAAATAGGTTTGAGCAGAGCTTATTCATTTATTTCTATGAAATATGTTCCTTAGGAACTTATATCACTGGATCTTATTTTAATTTTTATTAAAATTTTAATATTGGAACAAAATTCATGGAGATTTTTGTTCCAGAACTTATTTAACATTTGGTAAAAAATTAGTTACGGAACACATTTTACAGTGCTGGAACATATTTTCTGTGATATAAGTTCTGATGGAACATATTTCCTATAAAATTTGTTCCTTTGGAACAAATGTCACGCCGGAACAATTTTTTTGTTACACATGCTCCTTGATATAAACACAAAAAATTGTAAAAATGCCTTATGTTACCAATTTTATGGTAACACACGGATACAATGTATAATAAGCCATTTTGGGCATTTGGGCATTTGGTCACAGTTTAGAAATTGGTTTTGTTTAGGTCTGTTTTTGAACAATTAAGATAATATATCAACTATAATACATTACATGTAGGTTTATCAGAAATATTGTAAGTGTACATAATACAATGTACATAAATATGGAAAACTGGTAAAAAATAAAAAAATAATGGGCAGTACAACAAACTCAACCAACATAGATTCTTCTGAAAAATGGCTGTACAAACAAAGACCACTAACAACAAACAACACAAGGTCTAGATAGACTCTCCTGGTACAGTCACACAATGTCTTGACAGGACTGACTTTGACCTCATTTTCTTGGTTTATTGATCAACATCATAATTTTTCGATAAGGTCAGTTCCTCATTGTCTGTAAGCAAAAGCACAGCCGCATTTCATATAAAACTATTGTTGGGTGTACATGTAGAATAGTGAAAAATCAATTAGACCAATGATTATAGGCAAAACAAGAGATAGGATGTGTTGAGAGTTTCCCAACTGATCCTAATTTTGAGCACTTGACCCTTACATTTTTACGAGGATTCCTTTTAAAACTTTTCATGAACATATAACTTGTTGTAATAGTTAACTTATTTTATCAAAATATGCTACTAAATCGATCAAACACATGAAGACTATGAATCTTCATGCATTAATGGCGGGAGTTCCAACTATTGGTATAATCATCGAACTGGACTTAGTAAAAAAAAATATTTATCAGATTGTGACTAAATTAAAATAGAAATAAAAACCTAAACACATTTTTTGTATGGCCATTCTATCACACCTATTACATTTTGAACTTGAACTACAAATGTAAAAATCTTTTGACAGGTCTGTCTGAAAATGGTAACTGGTATCAAGGATGTTTCTCAAGAAATTCTAGTAGTATTGATAGTACAGATGTAGTAACCAAATTACATAGAAATTTATCAGAAGGACAGTCACTGAATGAGGTTATAGTGGAATGTAGTATGAGATGTAAAAGGGAAAGGTATTAATCTTTTTGGTGTTTAAACATAAACTGTATGTTAAAATTTTGATACAGGACATTTTCTTAATAGCACTTGATGATTTACCTGAAACCATTCAAAGTTTACCTTGTGACATTATAGATAATGTAAACCAACCAATTTATACATGAGACTTTCAGGAGAAGAAACAAATACACATTAAACCATTGCTATCAGCTAATATGTCAAACTTGGCTTGTCTCGTATGTGTACATCAACTAAGTTTGAAAATAGTAAAAAAAAAACCTACCCAAATCAGCAAGAAAGGTTTAACTCGAAAGATAGCATACATGAAAATATGCTGGTTTACATATTGAGTGAATAATATTTAATGCATATCTTTTATCTTGTCTAGGTTTGCTTTTTCTTATCAAGGACAGTTTAACTTGTAGACACCAATTGAAAGCATCTTGGATATACAATTATATATTTCTATACTGACACTATAAATTTTGTTCTGACAGTATAGTAGCAGAAACCCATTTTTTTTTTAGCCTAGTGTAAAAAAATATAAATCATATTACAACTATTGGTATATTTAGAAATAATACAATAACTTGTACTTGTAAATCTTATGTTGAAACATGGAAAACAGAATGTCCACCATATTCTGAATATCTTTATTTATCCATACATCACTTCTAACAGATTTTGTCACATTTGATTCAATTGAATTATGTCCCTTTGACCATGTAAAACACCAAAGTGCACTTGTTCAATTTACATGTACTGTTAAGATTATAGTTTTCATTTTGCTCTTTGAAAGAAAAGGGTTTAATATAATATTCCTATGACATTAAACTCTTTTGTTTTCAATTGGATATAAAAATAAGAAGATGTGGTATGGTTGCCAAAGAGACAACTTTCCACTAGAGACCAAATGACAAATCATTTGATACCCATTATCCTGCCTTTTGATCATAAAAGAGGTTTAACCAATTTCCCCTTATATTTGTTTATCTCAATGTGGTCAACAGTCAAAATCAGACAGTTTTTTGGGAAAACCTAATGGAATTTGAATATTCAAGTTTCTAATATACTTTTTACATATATAGATATATATGTGCATAAAATTAAAAGGTATTCAGTACTTTACCATGCTGCCGAGGACAACTTCTAATACAATATCACAACTATTACTAATTTTGAGCATTAAACCCATTTTTTTTGGCCTTAGTTAATGATTTTTTTAGAACTACTTACAATTTGCACATATTTGTTATATAGGTGGAATACCACCATTGATTTCCCCCTATTAGTCTTTGTTAAATTTGCACTTTTCAAAATATTGTGCAGAATTTATCTTTGTTTCAAATAAAGAAATACTTGGCATGAGTAAGTTTTATCCTGTCCAGTACTATAGACAAAATTTCACTTAACATTTCATTGCGTATCACTGGAAATTAACCAATCAAATTTCACCCCTTTTTTAGCTCACCTGGCCCAATGGGCCAAGTGATCTTTTCTCATCACTTGGCATTATTAGGGTATCTAGTTTTAAAAATGTGTCCGGTGACCTGGCCAACCAACCAAGATGGCCGCCATGGCTAAAAATAGAACATAGGGGTAAAATGTAGATTTTGGCTTATATCTCTGAAACCAAAGCATTTAGAGCAAATCTGACACGGTGTAAAATTGTTTATCCGGTCAAGATCTATCTGCCCTGAAATTTTCAGATGAATCGGACAACCCGTTGTTGGGTTGCTGCCCCTGAATTGGTAATTTTAAGGAAATTTTGCCATTTTTGGTTATTATCTTGAATATTATTATAGATAGAGATTAACTGTAAACAGCAATAATGTTCAGCAAAGTAAGATCTACAAATAAGTCAACTTGACCAAAATGGTCAGTTGAACCCTTAAGGAGTTATTTCCCTTTATAGTCAATTTTTAACCATTTTTCGTAAATTTTTGTAATCTTTTACAAAAATCTTCTTCTCTGAAACTAATGAGACAAATTTAACCCATACTAGGCCATAATCATTATAAGGTTATCTAGTTTAAAAAATTTGTCCGATGACCCTGCCTTCCAACCATCATGGCCGACATGGTTAAAAATAGAACATAGGGGTAAAATGCAGTTTTTGGTTTATATCTCTGAAACTAAAGCATTTAGAGCAAATCTGACAGGTGGCAAAAATGTTCATCAGATTTAGATTTATCTGCCCTGAAATTTTCAGACAAATCCGACAACCCGTTGTTGGGTTGCTGCCCCTGAGTTAGTAATTTTACAGAAATTTTGCAGTTTTTTGTTATTATCTTAGATATCATTATAATATCTAATATCTAATACTATTAATTATGACTTTAACCTTATTTTACATGATTTCCAAAGCATCAGTAAATACAGGTGAGCGACACAGGCTCTTGAGAGCCTCTAGTTGAGAACTTGTAAATGGTCAAGATCCCCACCCCTAAACGATATATATTCCTGTTCATGATTTCAAGAAGATTTGAATGACATACAGGGTTAATCCCTAGGCGTCACTTATGCATATAACTTTACTAGACCAAACCAATTTGTACTGTCAGGTGACCATGGGAATTACTAATTATGGGAGCTTTGTTTGGGAGACTTCGTAACAGCATCCGGTTACAATTATTTCTTGTATTAAGTAAAAATTTTTAGAAGTCGGAAAAAATCGTTAACCACACAATCTACTAATCGTAGTCCGAGTTTGTTCAATGTATAACAATTCAAACAAGAAAACTAACTGCTTAATTAGTAATAATACAATTTACTACAAACAAATATGAAGGACCTTAATCAATAAAAAATACTTAATCACAGGCCCTTTACATGGGATGGGCACAGAAAGAAATTAACAGAGCTTTCTGTATATTTGATTATTTTAAATCTACAGTTTAAGGTTGCAATAGAAATTATCAAAATTTTACATGACAAACACATGAAAAAAGTGATTTTTGATAATTGCTGATGAGACAATGGTTTAGGAAAAAACACCAAAGCTGTGATTAAATACATATTTGAAATAATACTCATCTACAACCTATTTGAAATAATACACATCTACAACCTATTTGAAGTAATACACATCTACAACCTATTTGAAATAATACACATCTACCGTTGCAAACTTTCCTCAGGTGCTATCCAGCACTTTGATTTTCATAGTTTTTTCTTTTAAATAGCATGGCAAAAAAAGTTTTAGATCAAACTGTACATGTAACTAACAGTAATGAGCATAATTATTTGTTCTTTTGTGGTTTGATATACAAGCTTGGTATGCTTGAACATGTTGAAATAGATGCTTACATAAAAGTTATGGTTTTAATGATTCACATAAAGCTAGATTTAAGTAAAAATATTTCAATCTACACATGAAGCCCTTTTTAAATCCCAGGATGATATTTAAACTACCATCATTTTAAAACTTATTAAAAGTCGAAATATGAGAATTCTTCAGAGGCATGGCATATGAGAAAATAATAGGAAAATTTAAATTGTAACTTAAGATCCCAATTTATTTGGAGGTATTATGAATGTAGCCTGTGTAATGAATATTTCATTGTATGCAAAATGTAATCTCTGTATGCATCACTGCTTGTTGTGAATGAAATTTCATATTCTTTCTTGGGTGAAGCAATTTTGAACTTGTATTAAAATCTCCCCAACTTAATCAGAAAATATTATACAATTATAGCCTTTGTGTGAGGTCGATACGAGGTTATATCGACCTAAGAGAAGCATATTGACTGAGGACGAAGTCCGAGGTCGATATGCTTCTCTGGGTCGATATAACATCGTATTGACCTCAACCAAAGGCTACAATTGTTATATTATTAATCAACAACTATAGCATGAACAATGTAAAATTGGGGATTTCTAGAATCTATTTTTAGTAACATGCTGTATGCCCTGTGCAATATGCTGTTTTTGACCTACGAAAATCTAAACACAACAGTATTGGCGTGCAAACTGAGCAAATACAAATGTACATGTGATCAAGTTTTAACGAATCAAAAATCCTTAAAAATATTCGATTAATAATATTATGGAATAATTAAAAAAAGTATTAATTTAAACTATTGAAAAATTTGTATACATACAATGTACAGCATTGGTCGGGTTAAGATCTAAGTACCATCACAGAAAAAAAAGTCACAAGATTTCTGTCCCTTTTAGATGACGGATGTAAGTAATTTTATATGTTTTTTCTTTGAGTAGATTAACTGTCTCATCAGGCCAAGATTTGAATATGAAAGTAATGTTGTTTTATATATACATGTACAATGATGATAAGTTTGAGATAAGCATTAATGAGACCGCAACCCAGCAAAACAAACCTAAGTGTCAAACAAGTTTATATTGCCTTGAGTCTAAACATGTAGGTTTTACATTAAATGTTCCCTATTTTGCCTTGTGGTTGGGGTAGGTGGAAAATGATGTTATTTCTTCTCCCTGAAATCAGCTGAGTTTTTATTAGGTTTTTAATGTCCTGAGTTATGTTTTTAAACAATAAGTGAATAATAATCTTATAACTTATGCAATGATGCTTCTAAGGGAGTATTTTAGCATCCAATGAAATTTAGTCACTCTGACCAGAATTAACATGTACACTTCATTGAGGAATAAGGTTTTCACCTCTGTTCATATTGTAGATACTTAATGTCTAACACACATATCATTTAGTATGAGGATGCATCTGGGGGAGCAGAGGAGCTTTCCATGAAAAATGAGGTTTTCACCTATATTTTAAACTTCATATACTTTAGTAATGCTTCTTAAATTGTATAACAATGGTTACAAGTGATTTCGAGATTGAACATTATAACTTGAGTTCACTGGGGAGAATTACCTTTCTTACTTGCAAACTTAATACCTGCCCATCAATGTAGGTCGTTTTATTTCTTCCTTATGCAAATAACCATTTCCACACTGTGACAGTTGTCTCTTGAATTGTCTCAAAAAAGCAAATATCATTTCAAGATTATAACTTAATTTTGCTTTGTCTTTATAATGACTTTATAGCTTTTATTTTTTGTAACAGAACTTTTTAACATGTACATGTGTTAAGTTTGATATTCCATGATGTTGCATTTTTCATTGAGTTTTGCCTCTTGACTTGTCTCAAAATTGCAAATTTGAGTTTATCCATCTAAATTTATATTATTATACCCCATGCAACAAAGTTGTATAGGATATAATATTTTTGACCTGTCTGTCTGTCCATCAGTCTTGTTCTTGTCTTCTGAACTCCTCTGAAATCACACAATAGAATTTCATGAAACTTTATAGTTTGAGGACATAATATGTAGATGTGCATATCCACAAGAAATTTTTGTCAGTTGACTTTTGTAGGAGTTATGAGTCTTTGAACTTGGGTATCTGGTAAGATGTTCTTTGAAAAGAAAATCCTTTATCGTATCAAAATCTTCAGAAATGTACTTCTATTGAATTTTATTCTTCCTGTACTCTAATTTGCCTATAGTGTTTCCATATGCAACGACTTTAACCAAGAGACTTTTCGTGAGTACTTTGCACATCGCAAGTGTGAGGAAAAAACTGTGATGAAAGAAAAGGTAAACAAATGTGGAAGTTAGAAAGTGTCTAATTGATTCTGAAAGAAAATTTTAATAAATCACCAAATCATTTAACAACTATTATGGCAAAGTTTGATTAACAAATAGAAACGCATGGAAAATTAAAAAAATAAATCATTACTTGATTGCATGTCTGTCATATTACTTATTTTTCAGGTGCTCCATGATTCTGTGTTGATTGTTTATTAAGGACACCTTCGGTAAACTTTGGCAATAAACCACGAAAGTTGATTAGCAAGTTTTCACTGAATGAAATATATTTTGTTGATTATGTTATAGATTTGTAAAAAATGTGCATAGATGACTTAGTTTAGTATATGTACATGCATTGGTTCAATAATCTTCTTAACATTATAATTTCAAGAAACTCGTTTCATATGACTTTAACTTTCAGCCATATGCATCCATTTATTTAAAAGAATGTTTTAGGGCATGATTTTGAAAAAAAATTACTACTTATTTTTTCCTTTACATCATAAGGATTAAATGATATACAACAAAATAAATTTTAGTCTGTTTTTTTAACCGAGTATTAATGAATAGCTGAATCAGAATACTCCACTCCTACACTTATATTTATTTTAGTAAATTAAAGCTTGTATAACTTCCACGGTTTATCTACTACACTCTTCTCTAATCACGATTTCTTACCCTTAAGGAAGATCCCTTATCTTCATTATGGACTTTTATTTTAAGAACCTACACATGCCTGTAATAATCATCTCTGCTCATGGTACTATTTTAAAATTATGAGAATGCAACTTATTTATAACGCAATTCAAACATTACAAGTTAACTTCTGATTATTTTGGAGCATTTATACCATTTGACACGACATTAAATTTATAAAAATGTTCAATTGTCATGTTAAAGAACAATAAATAGAAATGTAGCCCTAACTGGCAATGTAACAACTCTACAATTATGTCCAATTATTATTGATCGTTCATTAAAACTTGATTTAACATGTTTTCAATGATTTGATGAAGAATAATGGCTGGATGGGGTTGTTACACTTTTTAAGTAGACATATTATACAGAATGAGTATCTCTGTTCAGGCCTGTTCTCATGATTTGTATAAAGGAAATGTAATATATGTTTAACATAGTCATTTGTTCTTTGCTAATGTTTATATAATAAAAAAAACCCAGCATATTACTATAGATTCATTATTATTTTTGTGGGATACCAATTTGTAGTGGATTTCGTGGGTACAGGTGAACGACGAATTCAAAAGTTCAAAGCATTAAAAATTTTCTACAGGCTTATATGCAGACTTTGGTAAAACCACGAAAAATCAAATATCCATGAAAATGTTAGTTTTCCTCAATCCACGAAAATTGGTACCAACGAAAAATAAACGAATCCACAGTTTTTCTTTTGACAGAGTGCTTGCAATCATTTTTATACGACCGCAAAAATTAAAAATTTTTTGGTCGTATATTGGTATGACGTTGGCGTCGTCGTCGTCCGGCGTCGTCGTCGTCGTCGTCGTCGTCGTCGTCTGGCGTCGTCCGGCGTCGTTCGAAGACACATTGGTTTTCGCACTCTAACTTTAGTTTAAGTGAATGGATCTCCATGAAATTTTACCATAAGGTTCAATACCACGAAAGGAAGGTTGGGATTGATTTTGGGGGTTATGGTACCAACAGTTAAGGAATTAGGGGCCAAAAAGGGGCCAAAAATAAGCATTTTTGTAACTTCCAGACAATAACTTGTGTGTAAGTGTATGGATATCTCTGACATTGTACCACAAGGTTCCATATCACAAAGGAAAGGCTGTAATTGATTTTGGGGGTAATTGCCTCAAAATTTTAGGAATTAGGGGCCAAAAAAGGGGCAAAAAACAAGCATTTTTCTAGTTTCATGACAATAACTTGTGTGTAAGTGTTTGGATATTTCTGAAATTGTACTACAAGGTTCCATATCACAAAGGGAAAGCTGGAATTGAGTTTGGGGGTAATTGCCCAAAACGTTTAGGAATTGGGGGCCAAAAAGGGGCCAAAAATAAGCATTTTTCTAGTTTCCAGACAATAACTTGTGTTCAAGTGTATGGATCTCTCTGAAATTGTACTGCAAGGTACCATACCACAAAGGGAAGGCTGGGATTGAGTTTGGGGGTGATGAATCATAAGGGGGTTCAAAAAATTTGGGGGGGATTTTTTTTTTTCTTTTTTTTTCTTTTTTTCCTTTTTTTTTTCTTTAAAAATTTTCCATTTTAAGTTGGTTATTTCTGATTAATATTTAAAAGCAAATAATAATGATATGGTAGGAGATACACACCAAACAGGATGTGTAAATTATTATCTAATAAGTATTGTGCAATAGCAAGAAATTTTCAATTGCACAGTATTGCACAATAGCAAGAAATCTTCAATTGCACAGTATTGCGCAATAGCAAGAAATCTTCAATTGCACAGTATTGCGCAATAGCAAGAAATATCCAATAGCACAATATTGCGCAATAGCAAGAAATTGTCAATTGTACAGTATTGCGCAATAGCAAGAAATATTCAATTGCACAGTATTGTGCAAAAGAAGATACTTCGTATAAATTGCTTATTTCTTGATCAATTTCAATGGGGTTTTATTCTTGAATTCTTGGGGTTCTTTAATATGCTGAATCTAACCGTGTATTAAGTTTTTGGATTTTGTTCCCCGTTTTTAAATTGGTCCACATTGAGGTCCAAAGAGTCCAAAATTTAACTTTGTTTGATTTCATCAAAAATTGAATTATTGGGGTTCTTTGATATGCTGAATCTAACCGTGTATTTAGATTCTTAATTTTTGGTTCCGTTTTCAAATTGGTCTACATTAAGGTCCAAAGGGTCCAAAATTAAACTTAGTTTGATTTTAACAAAAATTGAATTTTTAGGGTTCTTTGATATGCTGAATCTAAACATGTATTTAGATTTTTGATTATGGGCCCAGTTTTCAAGTTGGTCCAAATCGGGGTCCAAAATTAAACTTTGTTTGATTTCAACAAAAATTGAATATATGGGGTTCTTTGATATGCTGAATCTAACCATGTATTTAGATTTTTGATTTTTGGGCCCTGTTATCAACTTTGTCCACATTGAGGTCAAAAGGGTCCAAAATTTAACTTTGTTTGATTTCATCAAAAATTGAATTATTGGGGTTCTTTGATATGCCGAATCTAACTGTGTATTTAGATTCTTAATTTTTGGTTCCGTTTTCAAATTGGTCTACATTAAGGTCCAAAGGGTCCAAAATTAAACTTAGTTTGATTTTAACAAAAATTGAATTTTTAGGGTTCTTTGATATGCTTAATCTAAACATGTATTTAGATTTTTGATTATGGGCCCAGTTTTCAAGTTGGTCCAAATCGGGGTCCAAAATTAAACTTTGTTTGATTTCATCAATAATTGAATTCTTGGGGTTCTTTGATATGCTGAATCTAACCATGTATTTAGATTTTGGATATTGGACCATAATAGGTGAATGTCCAATTTAAAATTTTTAAGTTCTTAGACCACATTCATTCTGTGTCAGAAACCTATGCTGTGTCAAATATTTAATCACAATCCAAATTCAGAGCTGTATCAAGCTTGAATGTTGTGTCCATACTTGCCCCAACTGTTCAGGGTTCGACCTCTGCGGTCGTATCAAGCTGCGCCCTGCGGAGCATTTTATTTACTATTGCAAATATAAGATTTTGCCCAACTGCAATCATTATTTATTTTTTAGATAAAACAATTTTAAAATGATGTTACATATAACCCAACTGAACAGTAGTTGGTAAAAATGTATCCATTTGCCATGCAAAGATTGCAGTCCTCAGTTAGTACATGTATATTAGTCCAAAACAAAACAAAAATGATTATAAAATGAAAAATACTTACTTTCAAACTTGGTTTTGTTTTATATTATATTGTACATGTGTAATATATTACTTTCTTCCAAAGAGATTAAAAACTATTTTTATATCTTTTTTAAGGACAAATTGTAGTCCAGATTTAAAATGTATTGTTTATGAAAGAAAAATAAAGATATGTTAAGCTATTGCATCTTTTTTGAGGGCACATTGTAGCCGTATTTAAGAAAATGAATTGTTTATGAAAGAAAATTACAAAACCTATTAAAGCTTTAAACAATATTTGGATTTCTGTTACAATTTCATTTTGTTTGTAGCCTCCTTTTATTTCCTTTCTAATGGTTGAACTATGACCATTTTGAATTCAACTACAATCTTTAATAGAATTGTGATATTATATTTGTAATTTTTGTGTGCAAATGAATGAACATCTTATCCATTTATCTAGATCATTGGATCAAATTGTCAAGAAAGAGAATCTGTTGTATGACAAATTGGGAAAATGGGATTTAAATTTGTTTTTACAACATACCTGTAATACTCAAGTTTATTTGCTGAACTGGAAAAATGGGCATACTGTAATATGTGTCAAATGCAATCATATTATAGATGTCATGGTACTTCCTTTGTATATAATTTTCAAGTTTGAATTGGTTTAGCTTTTGCTCTTTGGAGGTTTAATTTCGATACAAAAGTACAAATGAAAATTGTTTAAAATGTGTTGAGACCATAACAACAGTAATATATACTATACATGCTGTATGTCAGATAGAGAGCTACACATAAGGTAGATCTAAAACTGATAAATTGTTTTTACTCTTTACAACCTTTCTTTATAAGTTGATTGAACAAACACTATGGGAAAAATAATCTTATTTTTTTGGAAATTAAATATGCTATCTAAAGTCTTGTTTTAGCTCATCTGGCCTAATGGAGCCATGTGAGCTATTGTCATCATTTTGGTGAAAAGTTGCTGACTTTTAAATTAAATGGTCTATTTTTTTCAAATAAAATATATATCTACTCTTCTGAAATCACTGGACCAATTTCAACTTAAAATTGAGAATGGAAATGGGGAATGTGACAAAAAGACAATAACTCGACCAAAGAGCACAAAACAGCTGAAGGCCACAATGGGTCTTCAACACAGCGAGAAAATCCCGCACCCGGAGGCGGGCTTCAGCTGGCCCCTAAACAAAAATGTATACTAGTTCAGTGAAAATGGACGTCACACTAAACTCCAAAACATACAAATGAACTAAAATTAAAAAAACATACAAGACTAACAAAGGCCAGAGTCTCCTGACTTGGGACAGGCACAAAAATGCGGCGTTGTCTGAATGGTCCTTGTCTATTATGTACAGATTGTATATTTGGTTCTAGCCTATCGATGTCTATGTTTTAGTTATCTTGTGTACTATATATATATTATGGCTGAAAGGAGAGTTAACTAATTTAGGAATTTTCCTTTACATTTTTGTTTTAGCTTAATAGACTAGTAATGAAGGTTACAGGGTAATTATTATGCTGTTGTTTGATCATTCCACCCCGGCTTTTTGAAGCTATATAATGATGGGATGTCTGTTCAGTTCATCTACCCATCATTCTGTACCACTCTTATGTCAACCATTTGACAGAATTTTGTGAAACTTTCACAGTCTTACTAACCAATATTTTATTTTGTCATCACAATGATTTTTTAGGTTGAATTTGTCATATCTCTTCTCTTCAGAACATATTTGTATCTGCTTCTCCTTCTAAAACCCTAAGAATTTCATGACATCTTATCAGAATATTCACCAGTTAATGACGATGTTCCCCTCTTTTGTTTTTTTTTGTTCATTGCTTCATCTGGAGTTGACCAACTTCTTAACCCCATATTATAATTTAGTGAAATTTTCTCACAATCTTAACAATATAATGCCATTGTCATGATTGTACACCTTCTATTTTTTTTTTTTTATCCAAAATAATTTTCGGGGTTCATAATCTTTTTCTTTGCTTTATGTGAGGATGGGGGATATCAGTTTGTAAGCTTTGCTAGCAGTACCTCTAGTTCAATGTTGTGCCCATCAGTAATTTGATTTCACTAAAAAAATAATTTCCTATGTTTATTTGTCAAAAACATACTTTGATTGAGTCAATTTACACTCTATTCTTTTGTTATGTGCAGACAACAGGTGTTGTATTTCAATTTAAGATCTGTATGCAAATGATGTAACTTAATTTTATTCTCTTATCCAGATATTTGTATCTTGCCTCCAGTATAGAAGAACCATGTTTCTGTACGAATAAAAGTTTAGAGGATTGGACTACGGTAGAAGACTCTTACTGCAGGTAAGACTTGAAGACATTATAATGATAAATACTATGACCTATCAAACTTTTCTTGCATTGACATTCTCATAAATAACAGCATCAACCCATCATTCTACCATGCTTGCCATTCTCATAAATAACAGCATCAACCTATCATTCTACCATGCTTGCCATTCTGTAAATAACAGCATCAACCCATCATTCTACCATGCTTGCCATTCTGTAAATAACAGCATCAACCCATCATTCTACCATGCTTGCCATTCTGTAAATAACAGCATCAACCCATCATTCTACCATGCTTGCCATTCTGTATTTAAATGTGATGAAACATACATGCTTGTTTTCTATTTTGCCACTTTTTCATATTACATATGATAATATGACAACTCTAGATTACCTTGACCACAATCATATTGACTGTGCACACAACCTTTTGATCCCTGAAAGAAAATCCTCCTATAGATTTAAATGGTCTTATTAACTGTTTCATCTCGGAATTGTGGAACCTTTTTCGTTACAAAATAGGGCCTTTGTCACAGAGTGGTCTAAGTTGTTCAGCTACTATATCACTAGCCAGTCAACACTGAGGTTGTGAGTTCCAACACCGCACGTGGCAGGTGCATTCCATTCCTATCTCAATTGACTTGGATTGTTGGTTTTCTCTCTGGACACTCCGTCTTTCGAATTCTCTACCAATAAAAAACCTGACCGCCACGATATAGCAAATTGTGCTGTAAATGACCTTAAACTGTGTTAAACACCAACAATCAGTCAACCAATCCTTACAAAATGTGCACTTTTAACATTTTGCACAATTAAGATCAGTTTGAACAAGTCTTATGAAATAATTACACAGGGTTGATGACATCATAATTTGGAGAAAGAAATTCCAAGGGGCCTATCAAAAATAAGTCAAACAACACCATGGCTTAAAAGAGAAATGGTGAAAAGACAAAACAATCGAAAAAACACTACACAGAATACTAAAGATTTAGTTCCTGCTACACTAGTGGCACCCATTGTTTTACTCAATGTAAGTATAAATATGTCATGTCTCAAGTGAGCAAATGAGGACAAGTTTGTGTCAAGGACAAATGGAACACATCTGCGGTCATCAGTGACAAAAATATTTGATAATGATCAACCAAATCTTTCTGTTTTCTGTAGAACATTTGAAGGATTAACTTCAACCATTTGGAACCGTTGGTGCAAAATCTTCGTTGAAAGCAGCAACCCTCTATCAACAAAATCATAACAGGAAATGAATATATACGTTCCATATGCAGGAACTGCTGGGGTATTGCATAGAGAAATGGAAAATACATAATATGAACATTGACTTAGGCATGCTGCTGTTGATATATGGGCAAAAATGGCATCAAGCAATTGTTAAAGTTTCTGATTAGTTTGGTTAAAGTTGAAATTGCAGGTCAATTATGCATGGTAGGCAGTTGTATTAACATGGCACATTCCTATTCCATGGAGATCATTTCACACACATTTTCAATCAGGATCAATTAACTATCAAACTTTCCCTTGATTTACACGTTAAAGTGTTGCCATTTAAATTTTACCTCATACTATCAATATTACACAAAGTCAAGACATATCCATGATATCACTGTGTTGACAGTTTTTATACGACCGCAAAAAAATTTTGTGGTCGTATATTGGTATGACGTTGGCGTCGTCGTCGTCGTCGTCGTCGTCCGGCGTCGTCGTCCGAATACATATTGGTTTTCGCACTCTAACTTTAGTTTAAGTGAATGGATCTTTTTGAAATTTGACCATAAGGTTAAATACCACAAAAGGAAGGTTGGGATTGATTTTGGGGGTTATGGTATCAACAGTTAAGGAATTAGGGGCCAAAAAGGGGCCAAAAATGAGCATTTTCTAGTTTCCAGACAATAACTGTGGAACGGTGTATGGATCTCTCTGAAATTATACTACAAGTTTCCATACCACAAAGGGATGGTTAGGATTTGCTTTGGGGGGTTATGGCTCAAACCGTTTAGGAATTAGGGGCAAAAAAGGGGGAAAAACAAGGTTGTCCTGGTTAATGGACAAATACTTTAGTACAAAACATAATTTAAAGCAGTGTAAGGGAGATAAATCAAATACATCATTGAAATTATCTCCCTTACACTGCTTTTAAATTATGTATAAAGTAATGGTTAATGAACAATAAAGATAATCTAAAACAGTGTAAGGGAGGTAATCCAAATACAACGTTTTGGTTACTTCCCTTACACTGCTTTTAAATTATGTTTAAAGAAATGCATATTTATAAAGGAAGACCAGTAAAAATATCTGCAAATGTTTTCATCTTTTTTTTTTACAAAAAAATCCATATGAAAGATTTGACACTATATTTTTATTAATTCTATTATAAAATAGATTAAGTTAGCACTATGGTAAATTTAAATGGGTAATTATGGTTGCCAACTCCATTGGAAATTTGAATTGAGATTATGACCATATCTTGAGGGAAAGAATTTTTTTGGGGGAAAAAGGGGGGGGGGGATAAAAAGAAATTGTGGGGGGCCAATTTTTTCTCATTTCAGATTTCAGAAATTAAAAAGAATTATTCTTCAAATATTATTTTTTTTTCAAATTTCAAATATTGAAAAATTTCAAGAAGTAATCTTTAATTGCACAGTATGGCGCATTAGATTTGTAAAATCTTTGATCACATTTATTTATTTGTTGTGCCGAATCTAACAGTGTATTTAGATTTTTAATTTTGGGTCCAGTTTTCAAATTGGTCTACATTAATGTCCAAAGGGTCCAAAATTAAACTTTGTTTGATTTTAGCAAAAATTGAATATATGAGGTTCTTTGATATGCTGAATCTAAACATGTATTTAGATTTTTGATTTTTGGCCCAGTTTTCAAGTTGGTCCAAATTGGGGTCCAAAATTAAACTTTGTTTGATTTCAACAAAAATTGAATATATGGGGTTCTTTGATATGCTGAATCTAACCATGTATTTAGATTTTTTATTTGTGGACCCCGTTATCTTATTGGTTCATATTGAGGTCAAAAGGGTCCAAAATTTAACTTTGTTTGATTTCATCTAAAATTGAATTATTGGGGTTCTTTGATATTCCAAATCTAACCGTGTATTTAGGTTTTTAATTTTGGGTCCTGTTTTTTAAATTGGTCTACATTGAGGTCAAAAGGGTCCAGTATTTAAACTTTGTTTGATTTTAACAAAAATTGAATTCTTGGGGTTCTTTGATTTGCTGAATCTAAACATGTGTTTAGATTTTTGATTATGGGCCCAGTTTTCAAGTTGGTCCAAGATAGGGTCCAGTATTTAAACTTTGTTTGATTTCAACAAAAATTGAATATATGGGGTTCTTTGATATGCTGAATCTAAACATGTATTTAGATTTTTGATTATGGGCCCAGTTTTCAAGTTGGTCCAAATTGGGGTCCAAAATTAAACTTTGTTTGATTTCAACAAAAATTGAATATATGAGGTTCTTTGATATGCTGAATCTAACCATGTATTTAGATTTTTTATTTGTAGGCCCCGCTATCAAATTGGTTCATATTGAGGTCAAAAGGGTCCAAAATTAAACTTTGTTTGATTTCATCGAAAATTGAATTATTGGGGTTCTTTGATATGCCAAATCTAACCGTGTTTTTAGATTTTTAATTTGGGTCCCGTTTTTTAAATTGGTCTTCATTGAGGTCCAAAGGGTCCAAAATTAAACTTAGTTTGATTTTAACAAAAATTGAATTCTTGGGGTTCTTTGATATGCTGAATCTAAACATGTGTTTAGATTTTTGATTATGGGCCCAGTTTTCAAGTTGGTCCAAGTTGGGGTCCAAAATTATACTTTTTTTGATTTCAACAAAAATTGAATATATGGGGTTCTTTGATATGCTGAATCTAACCATGAATTTAGATTTTTTATTTGTGGGCCCCGTTATCAAATTGGTTCATATTGAGGTCAAAAGGGTCCAAAATTAAACTTTGTTTGATTTCATCAAAAATTGAATTATTGGGGTTCTTTGATATGCCAAATCTAACCGTGTTTGTAGATTTTTAATTTGGGTCCCGTTTTTTAAATTGGTCTTCATTGAGGTCCAAAGGGTCGAAAATTAAACTTAGTTTGATTTTAACAAAAATTGAATTCTTGGGGTTCTTTGATATGCTGAATCTAAACATGTGTTTAGATTTTTGATTATGGGCCCAGTTTTCAAGTTTGTCCAAGTTGGGGTCCAAAATTAAACTTTGTTTGATTTGAACAAAAATTGAATATATGGGGTTCTTTGATATGCTGAATCTAACCATGTATTTTGATTTTGGACATTGGACCATAATAGGTAAATTAAAAAAATTCAAGTTCTTAGACCACATTCTTTCTGTGTCAGAAACCTATGCTGTGTCAAATATTTAATAACAATCCAAATTCAGAGCTGTATCAAGCTTGAATGTTGTGTCCATACTTGCCCCAACTGTTCAGGGTTCGACCTCTGCGGTCGTATCAAGCTGCGCCCCAGCGAAGCATTTTATTGTCAATCATTTTAGTTATCAATCCACCCTCATTTTCAATTTCTTGATGTAAAACAAGGAATGAAAAAGACTAATATCTTCATTCTTGGTATTTTTTATTTCAAGAAAAATAGAATAGATGCAATCATCATAGTCACGACCAGTGAAAGGAAGATTTTTTGCTGTTGTCATTCCTGAGTTATAGAACTTTGCTCATGAAGTTTCTTCCTCCATATTTTAGTACAAGATAAAATGAATCTTTGGAATTGTTTATATATTAATGATGTTTTGATTGTTTACATTTTTCTTTTCAATTTTTATGATTTTAACTTTTACTTCATGTGATCATGTGTTATATAACTTTGGAAAAAAAAATCCAATTTCATTTTTCAGATTATATGCTATAACTTATTTGCTTTTAACCATTAATTAATATAAAATGTTAACATGATGAAAGAATTGATGAAAAATTAAGTACCCTTTACTGTGTTTACAATTGATTTTGGAA